TGTGACAAGTCAAGTCACTCACACACTTTTCAATAAAACTGATCTAGATATGCTGAATTGGAAAAACCTCACTCTTGCTAATTAGGACAGGAAGGAGCAAGGAACATATTAGACAAAGAATACTTTGCAGTTTGTTGAAAAATGTGTGTGCAATGACTTTAAAACTAGCACCCAATGATATGTGGAAGTACACAAACCTATGTTAGGGTATTAATCAAGTATTATAATCTTGTATTTAAATGATCATGGAAACACTTCAAATTTTACTTCATTACATATTTTAACTTCAATTCAAAATTGTCTAAACCTTTTGTTAATTTGGATAAAATACTCTTCCTAGTAATAGCATGCTATTATTCCTCAAACTAATATTATAGGTTGGTTTTCTGTCAATGTATTATTCTGAGCTCAATACATATTCTTGCTTAAGATACCTTTATAGGAAAAGTATTTTTCAGGTAGGCTTTTTCAGTCATTAGCACCTGTTTTCTTTCAAGTTGTGGTATAGGAATCAGTATGATTTATGCTTTGTGTGTTTTTGGAAGAGGACTAATGCCAGTGTGGCATACAGATCACAAATGAGAAATTTTAGTTTTTAGTGAATTAAATCTCTCTAGCTTTTGAAGTTAATTTCTTTTTTTGCTAGGCAATGGGGTTAAGTGACTTGCCCAGAGTCACACAGTTAGTAAGTGTCTGAGGTCATATTTGAACTCAGCTCCTCCTGACTCCAGGGCCGGTGCTCTATCCACTGCCCCACCTAGCTACCCCTGAAGTTAATTTCTAACATTAATGTATTGCTGGTTGCTAACCGATAGAATTAGATGTAACATCATTAGTCAGTCTTCTTTGTTTGCAGGGAGTTAATTTAAGTAGTCTGACAGGTAAGAAATCAATTCAGAAAGACACTAAAGGAATTTATAAAGCATTCTGACTTCGGTTCCAACAAGCAGTTCACCAATTCAGAATGCAAGTAATAATGTATTTCTTCTATGAGGAGTCCTAGCTTCATAAACCACATACTTGTTCCTACATTCTCTTGAATGTATAACACTCAGTGTGACCAAAAAACCTCAGAGACTTCTTTTCTTCTCTTTCAACATCCTTGATAGAAGTTATCTACCCTGTTGCCAGATAATGATCTACCTTGATATTTTCAGGGGTGAACCTCTAAAAAAGAATGGAAGGAAACTCTGCTGCTTCTAACCAATGATCACCTTCAGATCTCCCTGAATACATATACAAAATCATTCATCCCAAGGATAGTACAATGAGGTGGATAAGGAGGTAAGCTAGGATCTCTTTTCACAGAAAAGGAAACAGGCATAAAAGGCTAATGAGACCTCTCCAGAATCACACAATAAGTTAGTAACAAAATATGAAGGAAAAACGCAGACTTCCTACCCCCCACCCGGTTCTTAAGGTTATGTCAAGTAGGCCCCCTCAAATGGTAGATGCAGCACTCCTCTCCTTTGCTCTTAGGCCAATCTATTACTCAATATTTCTTAAGTACCTACAATGTGCCAGACATTGGGCTAGTTTCAGGGGATATAAAGACAAAAATGAAACAGTCCCTGCCCTCAAGAAGCTTACATTCTATAAAAAAAATCTATCTCCTTTTTCTCTTGGAAAAGTGATAACACTGTATTGCTTTGAGTCATAATTTTCTCTGGCTATGTACATTCTACTCTATTGTCCCTAGAATAGGATAGAGTTGACAATAGAAGACATAGCTTTTCTTTCCTCTCAAATAGTTGCCTCATTGAATCTGGTCTTGTTTTAGATTAACCATGTGATCTACACCACCTCTGGAATCAGATGTGGAAGAGACTTTAGGGATCATCACCTCACTTTATAGATTATAAAACTGAGACCAAGAGAGATTAAGTGACCTGCCCAAAGTCACCAGGTAATGATTGGTGGAGGGGTAGAGACCCAAAATCAGATCTTCTGACTCCAAGTCGAGCATTCTCCCTTCTGTCCCATTCCACTTCAGTCTCTAAGGTCTTTCCCAGCTCTAAACTTCTTTGTTCCAGAAATAAAAAGGATCGAAACGTTTTACTCCAGTGATAATACTGGGCCTTCAGAACCCTACAATCCTTGGGGTCTTAACAATGGTTTTCGCTTCCTTTGCCCGAATTGATTCATTCCTATAAAACAAGAGACTTATTGGCTATTTTAAACTCTGAATCTTCTGTCTGGTCCATACGACACTGAACACAAACTCAAAGAAAACCATATTTGACCAGACCTAGAACCTCACAAAGAGCATTAAACATCAGCTGTATTGAGGTTTTGGAGGGCCTCAGTGCTCCTTCTCCACTCCCACTTCTCTTGTGCCTTCCTGGCTCAAACCACCTTGTATTCTTTTTGTATAGGTTATGTATATAGTTATACATGTATATCTTGCTTCCCCCATTAGAATGTAAGCTCCTTGGGGACTGGGACTTTTTCTTTTGTCTTTGTATACCTGGTACTTAGCATGATGCCTGGCATATAGTAAGCACTTGTTGATTGTATTTGTTGATTGACTGCTGGTCCCTCAATGCCCAGGTCTTTATTCCTCAAAAAGTTGGTATGTAAGACCTAAAAATAACCACTGTGTGAGCTTGGGCAAGTCACTTCATTCTGGAAGCCAGTTTCCTCATCTGCAAAAAGGGGATTGAACCAGATGACCTCTAAGAGTCCCTTTAACCTCCAAATCTATGATCCTACGGTCTGTTAATATACTAAATTGTCTTCTCTTTAGACATACATAGGTAGAGATAAAGAAGCTATTCTCAATATATCAAATTAAACTATTTCAAATTCCAGTGTCTAGAAAATGATCAATTTATCAAATTGAGCCTCAGGTATAGAAATATATATTTATATTGTTATATGTTATATATATTGTTATTATATATAAAACACATGATCTATGAGAGATTTAGTTTTGTATGAGTGATATTTTTTCAAAGGAATTTGTTTTGTTTTGGGTTTTTCCCCTCTCCAATGAGGTGGGTTGTGGGAGAGAGAAAATAATCAATTAAAATCCATTTTCATCACTACTTGTGACCATTCTCTTTTAACTCTTCTTTGCCCAGCTGTGATGGATAGAAATCAGAATATTTGTTAGGATAAATCCAGTAGTGTTGGAGTCTCTCCATCACAAAGTGAGTGAGTACTTTCTTGGCTGACATTTAGGACAGTTAATGAAAAAACCTGTTGCCACTCCACTGCTATTTAGTAGCTGGCAAAGTTGGCCACTATCCCCCTCAAGTGCTATCATATGTGATAAATGTGAACATAATTCTTTTAAGGAAATCATAACTAGCAATGCAATATTATTGTGGGGCAGACTTTAGTATAACATACTGGGAAAGAGGCACTTACAATATAAGCTTGGAAGATAATTCCTACTATTCACACTTAGTATCACCTTTTATATTTGCCACAACTAAAAACTAAAAAGTAATTTCTTAAATTTGAATCTTTACACTCATTATCATCTGCTTTTAGTAAGCTATTAATGGCTTAAGGCCATTAATTGCCACAAGTAAATGAAAATAATTTTAATTTCCACAACAGCAGAGACCTAGGCTCAGTTTCCCACGCGGCCACTGGCGTTCAGGGCACTACTTAAAACAAATAACTATCCTTTAAAATAAAGGCTTAAATGGAGTCCTAGGCAACAGATTTGTCCCCTTGTTCTTCTCTGCTATTAATGTGTTTGCCTTCTTTATGACTAATCCAAGGCATTATTTTTCCTCAGTAAATCTCCCTGAGGTAGATTGAGCCAGGTAACAACCTAATTCACAAATAGAGAAACTAAGGAATAGAGAGATTGACTAATGCAATATCACCCAGATAAGCATAGAACCAGATCTGGAGCCCAAGGCTCTTAGTCCCCCAGTTCAGTGCTCTTTCCACTAGATTATGCTTCCTCCTGCATTTATAGCTGGGTTATTCAGAATAAGTTTTACAAAGATATGTGGCTACACCTATGTTCTACAACTAAGCCTTGGAATGCTTATGTAATCTGAAGTATAGCTATCTTTATAAACTTACAACCACCTACTGAATTATGTGTGATTTAACAAAACAAAAACATAGAACCCAATCATTTCTTAGTTATCCATGCTTTTGAATCAGAATCCCTGGGAAGCATCCAAAATGCATGAACATTCTCAGTTTATCTGCATTTTGAGTAAGGTCTGCATTTATTATCAGGGCTAGAAAATCCCTAAATGTACTGGAGGCTTGTGTTCAAAGGAGTGTTTCTAATCACCGAAAACAGAATTTTGATAGCACTTTAAAAAATATGCAATGATCACCCGTGATTCCAGAGGACCAGGGATGTGCTGGAGCCAGCTCTAAGACGCTTGAAAAGGCCATTGTTAAATTTTCAGTTTGGGCATTTCCACCTAAGAAATGAGCAATCCTAGCAATAAGGGCTTGAGTTATTGTTCTATAGATTGTTTAGACTTAAGGAAGCGTAAATAAGGCAGATTAAATCTAAAAGTGTGTTTGCATAATTGTTTTTAAACTGGAGAGCCTGGTTGTTAAACATTTACCAGCATACCCCCGTATTGTTCTATAAATATTGCCTGAGCTCAGCAGGAGTGAAGTAGAAGGCTTAGAGAATAAAGTCGTCACTTGACTGAAGGCTAATTAACAATAATAGTAGTAGTAACTGGCTTTTATATAGGTTTGCAAAGTATTTTATATTCATTATCTTATTTAAGTCTCACAATACTCCTACAGAAGAACAATGAGGAATCATGCCATCTACCTCCTGATGACATAAGCAAAGGACTCGGGGTGCAGAATGAGACATATTTTTGGGACATGACCTTTGAGAGAATTAGTTTTTTCTGGCTATGATATTTTTTAGAAGGAATCTGATTTGTTTTGGGTTTTCCCCTCCAATGGGTAGGGTGTGAGAGAAAGAGAAAATAATTTGTTAATTATTTATTTTAGAGAACTTATTTATTTAGAGAACTATATCAATACTTGTTCTGGTTACCACTCTTGAGATGCTGTACAAGACAGGCTTCACCACTATCACCACTTCAAAGAAAGAAAAGTTAAAGATGAAGAGCCAGTTTAAGACTCTACATGGACATCTTAGAAGTTGGCCACATTCCCTTCTCCCAAAAAAATGCCTGCTAGTTAACTCAGGTTCAAACATTTAATCAAACAGCTGCTTTATAGCCTCCAAGATTTACTTTTATTAGGACTGATTTTGTTTCTCTCCAGAATACAAGTGTTTCATTATCTTTGAACCAGTGGGTGCCTGATTTCTGAATCCCAAATCCCCGTGAGAATTGACCCAATCAGGCCATATTTCAAGCAATTCAGTAAACATGCCATTGCTGAATGCTGGATATCACTCCTTCTATCAGATAAATCTCGTTCCTTTTGAATGCAACATTTCACTATCACATGTTCAAATTCTGCTACTAAAAAAAAAAAACTTCCGTGTAGAGTTTGTTTTATTGTGCCAAGAATGAAAGAGAGATACAGCGTGCCTCAGACCTAACACTGCACAATGGCTGTGGAAAAAACATTTCATGTTGCTCTAAGAGGAGGGTCATTTTCTTATCAGACCATTTGCAGAAGCCTGACTTTCATTTCCTAAATGCCATCAAAAAGGTCTCTTTGCTAGTCTTTATCCCTATTTGACATTCTAAGTGCATGAATGGTGACACATTAAAGACAAATATGATCTCAAAACTTCCAACCTGCTACTCATTTGGTCTCCTGATGTGTCCTCCAAAGGGAGGAAACATAAAAAGGGACAGAGTCAGCTTTAGAAATCCAAAATACATCCAGCTTAAAAAGGGAAAAAATAGGGTGGGGAGGAGAGAATGGCGGGGGAAAATCCTTTATGTGCCATGTGGACTTTTAAAAGCATGCCCCCTTTTTTTCCCCAAAGGAGACTGCTCCAGTTGGGTGACTTGCCAACCACCACCAGCAGTTCCCACAATGCTCTGCAGCACAGTTAGATAGCCAGGATTGACTGAACAATGCATAGAGCCCAAGGAGAAAGAGACAAAGGAAAGGTCATGGATAGGGAAGCTATGGACCTGGAAATTCAGGGACGTTGGAAGAGTAGGAACAAAATCATTGGGAAGAAGGATGTTTACTTTTCAAAGTGCAGAAATGAGAGAGGGGAGTTTTTAAAAATTTTCAAAAGAAAATCATTAAAATGGGATCTTGACAATGTACTTCAATAAGTTAGTTTAAAATAAAGATCTTAAGTAGGTTTATAAAACAAATCAGATCTCAACACACTCAACCTGGTAACAAATGAAAAGATACCATTTTTTTTGCTTATTACTGGTATTGGTCAGGTGGGGGATAGGGAGAAGGGTAGATAATGTAAAAAAAAGAATTAGCACAAAGAGTTAAATTACTTTTCCTTAAACCCATAGGTCAGATTGAAATGATATCAACACTTTTTCCATCTCCCCGTGATGGAAATTCTAATAGACAACTGATGCTAATCTTATTAGGAAACCTCTTCTTCTCTTAGCTTGGATCCTCTTCCTAAGCTCAGGATTGTTGGTGTTTGCTCCTTCCAGGTTTTCAACAGATTCCAGGAGAGCAGGGCACAAGGAAGGGAGATAAAGGAGGTACAGGAGAGTCAGTAACCAAAAATTAATGCTCTGAGGAGTTCCTAGTTCCCAGAGCAAGACGGGTTTTCTTAATGGAAAAGAATAGAAGAATTACCTATTGGGAACTGAGCTAAGGCACTAAGACTGCAGCAGGTGGAAAGAACTTACATATTAACAAAAGGACCAAGCTTCACTGGGTCCCTGAGCAAGAGAGATGCTGTTCACAAAGTTGCCTTATTAGTAAAAATAAGATTTTTTTTAAAAAAAGAATGAGAACATAAAATTGTTGAATCCTCATTTTTTTTAAAGTAATATTTTGCTGTCCTCCCAGAGAGATTTGCTTCAGTTTTCAAAAGTTGTATGAGCTGTGTTTAGAGCAGAGTCTGGTGAAACATTCCGAGCACCTCTGGCTCATCCTGGATTCTCTTTGAAAGTGTTTGTTTTTATTTTCTTCTTCCTTTGCAGATAAAAAAAATCCACTTCTCTCCCATTTTTGGCATGATTTCAAACCATCCAATAATCTGTCCCCCCACTTACCCTCCCTCCTGCCCCCCAAAAGCCCAACGTGCGGCAGTTCTCTCCGGTGTGTTGCTTTGATCATCTCTTCCTCATAGCTTGATAAATGCAGCCTGTTGGCTCTGCTTTTGCACTGTGTCAGCAAGAGGAAAGACACTGGATATGGCTATATCCACTATACCTTGGCAAAGCTCTGCATAAAGTTTCCTAAAAGGAGAGACAGAGACAGAGGTAGAGAGACAGACAGACAGAAACAGAGAAATAATCATTAAATGTGTTCATAAGAAAAACAAATGTACCGTTCTTTTTTTTTGGGGGGGGGTGAGGCAATTGGGGTTAAGTGACTTGCCCACAGTCACACAGCTAAGTGAGTGTTATGTGTCTGAGGCCGCATTTGAACTCAGGTCCTCCTGACTCCAGGGCTGGTGTTCTAGCTGCCCCTACCATGCATTTTCTTACCCTTTTGTTCCCAGCCTGCTTACAAAAAATCACTTCCTATCCCTGCTTTGGCAAAAGCAGAGTAGTCATGATACATGTAAAGTAGGGTGTGGGTAAATCAGCATCTTCCAACTGTGCTCTGATTTGATTCTGGGTACCAGCTTCTAGTGCAAACTCAACACATTTATTCAATCATCTTCATAAAGTACTTGGGAAATTGGCATTTAGTCTAATCTACTAAGTGGAGGGCTGTTTAGTACCTGGGACATTAAATGCAGGACTATAATCTAATCTGTCTGCTCCTCACTTCCCGTGTGCCCATGTGATCATAAGATCTCAGTTTTTGAAAAGAAGGGGCTTTAGAGGTTCTTTAGTTCAACGCTTTCATTTTATATATGAGTAGATCAACATTTTCAACAGATGCCAAGAGGACAAGGAAGGGGGATGGAAGAGGTACAGGAAGAGGCAGTGACTAAAAATTAATGCTCTGAGGAGGTCCTAGTTGCCAGAACAAGGCAAGTTTTCTTAATGGAAAAGAATAGAAGAGTTACCTATTGGAAACTGAATTAAGGCACTGAGACTGCAGTAGGTAGAAATAGCTTATACATTAACAAGAAGGAATTTAACATTTAATAAAAGATTTAAACACAATGGTTAAAAGGCTTGCAAGGTTATATAGGTGGCATCTGGCAGAGCTTGGGTTTGAACTTAGGTCATCTGAATTCAAATCCAGTTCTCTTCTTACTGTACCACATTAACATCAGGCATAACTTAAGAAAACTCTAACTGCTTTGCATCAGAGGCAGACAAGGCAACGGCAGCAACAGACTTGTCATCCAATCAACAAACAATTCTGGGACTTTTACTAAGTCACCAGCACTGTTGGGAAGACTCTGGAAACCCAACTTTTCTACGATGTGTCAAAATGTTGAAATCTTTTGCGGTATGAAAACTTTTTGGTGCTCTGAGTTGCTCCTCATGAACTGTATAGCTAAGAAAAAAGCATTTTTCCAGAGATGATGTAAAGAGATAATACAGAATGAGTAAAATTGGATGAGTATGTTGAGCTAATTTATGGGTTCATGAGAAGGAAATGAATAAGAAATGAATTAGTAAGAAATGAATTAATATCTTTAGATCTGCCTTCTCTTCAGAAAAGAACCTGCCTAGGAAGTATAAACTAAGAAAGCATGGCAGTGAGTGACAGGCTTCAGGAAGCCAAACCTTTTAGGAGTCAGGGAAATGGAGCTGGGATTGAAGAGTATGTCACAGCTATACTTCCCCTAAGCTCATGGCAACATTAATTATTAGTCCATTACTTTTAACATATTTAATATTATGTCCTTAATTTTTTTGGGGGGTGGGGAGGCAGATCTGTGATTTCAACATTATAGGAAACTACCTAGTGAAGAAGCTTCTTCTATCAATGTGGATCAGCAAGTGTTCTGAAACCTAAGAACAGTTGTGTGGGACACAGAGAGGTTAAGTAATTTGTCCAAGCTTGCAATGGCCTGTATGCCTCAGAGGAAGGTCTGGAATCCAGGCGAGGCAAATCAGAATATTAGTGTGAATCTATCAAGAGGCAATTTTAATAGGTATAAATAGAGAGACTTACAATTGGGTTTAAAAAATCAATTTCACATATACAAGGACGAGGTATGGCTAGAGGTTCATCTGAAGCAGATTTGTGAGGATTTGACTGCATTGCAAGCTCATGTGAGCTGAATGTTATAAAGCAACCAACAACAGTAATATGACTTGAGATTGCATCGAGACACATAGTATCCATGGAGATGACGGTTTTGTTGTCCTCTGCCCTGGTCAAACCATAGCTGGAGCATTGTGCTCAGTTCTGAGAATCACATTTTAGGAGGACCAGTGATAAGCTGGAGAAAGTACAGAGGACAGCTGGGCTATTGAAGGGTTTCAGGTTCATGATAAAAGAGGACTGGCTTAAGGAACTGGACAGTTACTTCGGTGAAAAGAAGACAGAAAGGGAACATGATAGTGGTCTCCAGGTATTTAAAGGGCTGTCGTGTAGTAGTAGGATTAGATTTTCTTTGGAAAATGCAGAACTGAGGTCAAGGTATAGAAGTTACAAAGACCTAAACTTAATGTTGTTTGTTTGTTGTTTTTTTTTTAATTTTTAGGCAACTGGGGTTAAGTGACTTGCCCAGGGTCACACAGCTAGGAAATGTTAAGTGTTTGGTCTGAGGCCAGATTTGAACTCAGGTCCTCCTGACTTCAGGGCTGGTGCTCTATCCACTTATGTTTGATGTAAGGAAAAAATCCTCCATAAGTAGAACTAACTAAAATCAAAATGCACTGCTTTGGGATGTAGTAGAGTGCCCCAGTGGGATTCCTCCTTATAGAAAGTCTCCAGGCAAAAGCTGGATAATTCCCATGTGTTAGGGATGGAGAAGAAGGAATTTAGATTTGGGTTGAACTACAGAGGCTTTGAGGGCCTTTCCAAACTTGGGAGTCTGTGATTTTGTTACTAAGTCCTTAAAGTTAAGTGACTTTTTCAAGGTTATCCAAACAAATGAGGGGCTGACCTATCAGATTTATGAATAGAAGAATTTATTAATAAACAAGAAATAGAGAGTATTGTGAGATATAAAATGGATAATTTTGATTACATTAAATAAAAAAAGGTTTTATACAAATAAAATCAATGTAGCCAAGATTACAAGGAAAGCAGAAAATTGGGGGAAAAATTTTACAGGCAGTTTCTCAGATAGAGGCCTCAGATATTCGTATCTCGAATATATAGATAATTTTGTCCAAATCAAAAGAATATAAGCCATTCCTCAATTGTTAAATGGTCAGAGGTATGAATAGGCAGCTTTTAGAAGAAGAAATAAAAGCTATAGTCATATCAAACGTTCTAAATCATTATTAATTAGAGAAATTCAAATTAAAACAACTTTGAGATGCCATCTCATACCTATCAGATTAGCTAAAATGACATAAGGGGAAAATGATAAATGTTGGAGGGGAGCTGGTTCACTAATGCACTGTTGGTGGAACTGTGAACTGATCCAACCAGGTCTGTTTCCCAAGGTGAACAAGGAAAAAGGAAAAGAACTTACGTATTCTAAAATATTTATAGCAGCTGTCTTTGTGGTGGCAAAGAACTGGAAATTGAGGAGATGCCCATCAACTGGGGAAAGGATGAATAAGTTGTGGTATATGACTGTGATGGAACACAAGTTGATTTTAGAAAAACATGTAAAGACTTGCATGAAATAATGAAGAGTCAAGTGAACAGAATCAAGAGAACATTGTATACTGGTAACAGCAATGTTGTTTGAAGAGTAACTGTGAATGACTAAGCTATTCTGAGTAACATGAACATTCAAGTCAACTACAAAGGACCTATGAAGAAAGATGCTATCTACCTCCAGAGAAAGAACTGATGTACAGAAGTATGTATTGCATGGTTTCATATATATTGGCCTCTAGTTTGGGGTTGGGAGGGAGGGAAGGAGTTACCTCAGAACTCAAAATGCTATAAAAAATATAAAAAACAAAACAAATGAAGGGCTCAGTTTCAGCCCCTGATGAAATGGTTTACTTATTACTTTCCTTTCAAAACACAGCACTATCTCAGAACCCTCTGAGACAAAATTACTTTCTTAAGTTGGGGGAAGGACCCTTTTTTTGTTCTGCCTGACACTGCCAGCAGGTCTTCCTAAGACTATGTTTTTATAACATCATGCTTTTGTTCAAAAACCTTTAGTGGTTCTCCACTGCTTATAGGAGAAAAGGGAAATGGCTTCATTTGGCATTCAAGGCCTTCTAACATCTTCCCTAAACCTATTTTCCAGTCCTAAATTCTACCATTTTCATACAACACCAAACAGCAAATAGGTCTATTTATAGTTCTGAGAACAGGCCTAATTCTTTCTCAATTCTATACCTTTGGTCATGGTGTGCTATCTTCCTGGAGTTTCCCCTATGATCCTCTTCACTTTTCTGAAACAAATATAATGTTCCTGACTCTAGCCCAGAGGCCTCACTCCTTCCTCTGAACCCCTATGGCATTTACTGTCTGTACCACTTAATGGTGGCCTTCATCCCATTATTATCATGTATTTTTAGTTGACTTTTTTTTAGCCTGTTCTTTCTCCCCGGTTAGATTATGTACTTAGAATTGGCAGCATGGTAAAAGAGAAGGAAAATTGGACTTGGAATTTGAAAATTGTTGGTTGTATGACCTCTCTGAGCCTCAGTTTTCTTATCTGTAAAATAGGGATAATGATACTCATATTTCCTACGTTGCAGGGTTGTGGTGGGGAGATCATTTTGTAAACCTTAAAGGACTATATAAATGAGACCTACCATAGTTATTTTATGCTGCTTTTTTATTCCCCAAAGCATCTCACACAGTGCTGAGCACATAGCAGGTGTGTACTGAATACTTGCTGAATGAGGGGGAAAAATCATACGATAAGAACCTATTATCAATCTATCCTAAAGAAGGCAAAATGTAGTATCTGGGGCAGGCTTACTGGGCACATGCCGGAGCCCCGTTGACTTCAATGAGCCAGACCTTCAGCTCCTCATCAACCATGAAGTCAAAGCCAAAGAGCTGGAAACTCTGGTAGTGAAGGTGTTTGGTGCTGATTGCAGGCTCTATACACATAAGGCAGCTTCTGTAAAATTGAAAAAAGAAAGGAATTTAGTAAGGAAGGAAACAAACACTTACTAAGCATCTACTATGGACTAGGTACTGTGCTAAGCACTTTACAAATATCATTTCATTTCATCCTTACAACAATCTTGGGAGGTAGATGCCATTATTATCCCCATTTTATAGCTTAAGGAAATGGTCACACAGTTAGTAAGTGTTTGAGTTCGCATTCAAATTCAGATCTTCCTGAGTTCAGTACTTCATCCACACTGCCAACTAACTGCTTTTAGGAAAACTTAAATTTCTGTTGTTCTGTTATTTAGTCATTTCAGTTGTGTCCAACTCTTTGTGACTCCATTTGGGTTTTTCTTGGCAAAGATATTGGAGTGGTTTGCCATTTCCTTCTCCAGATAATTTTACAGATGAGGAAAATGAGGCAAACAGGGTTAAGTGACTTGTCCAGGGTCACATAGCTAGTAAGTGTCTGAGACTGGATTTGAACTCAGGACAATGGCTGGAGTCACCTAGTTGTCCCAGTAGATTTCAGTAGGTAGGTATATATTAAGTGTTTGGAGAAGATTTTATATTAAGAGCTCTAGTTTGATAACAGTTAATAGAAATCATCATTAGAAGTATTCTCCATATTTAGTAGTAATTTATGTAGTGCTTCAAAGTTTTTCAGTGCTTTATCTCATTTGACCCTCACAACCACCCAGTGAGGTGGGTAGTTACTATAAGTCTTATCATCATCCTCCTTTGACATCAAGGTTAAGTAAAGAACCAGAGGCCAGATTCAAACCAGAATTTTCCTGACTCCAAGTCCAGTACTTTGTCCACTATGCCACCCTTCATCTCTATTTCCTTTTCCATAGTTAGATACTACCAGATAATGAGAGAGAACCAATCAGACAATAATTTTTCCCCCAAATCCTGAAATTATCAATGTGTTTAACCACAACTAAAGTACTATTTCTTCGCCAGTCATTAAAAAACAAAAAAAACAAAACATCAACTTAAGCACACTTTCAAAGCTTCAAGTACTTAGAACTATATATTACTTTATCAAGGAGAATACTTTCTGTGTATCTTCAGCATGAGAAAAAGGAATCTGAACAAAATCCTTTTTGTAAAGCAAAACAAAAACATTGCTCTTTCCCAGCGAATGGACGCTATGAAAAAAAAGCAGATAAAATCTTTTCTTTTCCTTCTCTTTCTCTCTCTTTCCTTCCTTTTCCTTTTTTCTTCCTCTTTCTCTCTTTCAATTCTGTAACTGTGATTTCATCAGTTTAGTAAATTCCTGGTCAGGAAACCCCATCAGTGCAAACATATAACAGCTGTTTAATTTATAATCTTAGACAGCTGCCTGAGGCACTGACAAAGATGTGGGACTTCAACCCAGGACTTCTTCGGTCTGAGGCCAGCTCTCTTTCCACTTCACCATGCTGCTTCCAGACTGAATCATGATAATTTATCAACAATTCAAAGTTCACAGGCTCTAGAGGTCATCTAGTCCAAGACCCTCCTTTTTCAAAACCGAGGAAGAGAGATGAAGTGATCTACCAAAGGTCAAACAGTAAAGTAGCAGAGTTGACATTTGAATTCAGGTCTCTAAATCCAATGCCAGCTCTCTTTCCACTATATAATGGTTTTTTTTTTTTTTTTTTTTTTTGGTAGAGGGGAGGAGACATGTCCTCCAGGGAGGAGACCCTGGAGACTTTCCCAGGGTCACACATCTATTAAGTGTTTGAGGCCGAATTTGAACTCAGGTCCTACTGATATTAGGGCCAGTGCTCTATCCACTGTACCTGCCCCTATATCATGCTTCTTGGTAAAGATACATTTTCAAATTTCTGAGAGTCAGATCCCATTGTACTGCTATATCAATACTGGACCGAAGAATGTAATAAAAAAAAATCTAAATGTTATTGTTGAATCTCATTTGGAGATTTGAATGAGTTAAGATATAAATATGATCTTGAAAAAAAAAGAAACAGGTTTCCATTGACTAGCTTGAACTTTATTGGGCGATGTTCCATAGGTTAACCTCTAACCTCTGAGAACCAAGCTGGACAGAGACCTAGAAGTCCAGTACAGCCTGAATCTTGGAGTCTGACAGTAGAGTGTATGTTTTTTTTTGGGGGGGGGAGGCAATAGGGTTAAGTGACTTGCCCAGGGTCACACAGTTAATAAGTGTCAAATGTCTGAGGCTGGATTTGAACTCAGGTCCTCCTGATTCCAGGGCCAGTGCTCTATCCATCATGCCACCAAGCTGCCCCCCAGTAGAGTGTATGTTGACATGTAATATGAGTTGAAAAACAGAAAGGTAAGAGAATAACAAAGACTGAATTAACATTTTAAACTGGGCAATTAAAAGACTTATTGGCACTTTAAAACAAATTCATTTCTATGATTGCGATTTTGGTGATTGCTCTGATTACAACTAATTCCTCCTATTAGCCCTCTGCAAGAAGAAGGTAAATCATTTCAAATGTCTGATGACAAAACAAAAGAAGATGAAAGCCCAACTTTTTGTTTTAAAAAATATATATTACTTCTTCTATAATTAGATACCAACAATCAGAGAAACACCTCTAATTTTTTTCTAAAGTCTGAACTCAATAGCATTATGAAGAGACAATAATATGATCTGTCTTCTAACACCCAACCAGTTGCTAAGTCTTATCAGTTCTACACCCTTAACATCTTGCCCATCAGTCCCCTTTTCTCCACGTACGTGGCCACTACCCTAGTGCAGGCTCGTCATCATTTTTCATCTGTACTACTGTAAAAAGGCCCTCATTCATCCCTGCTTTCAGTCTTCCCCTCTCTCCAATCCATCCTCCACATAACTGTCAAAAGACTCTTCCTAAGTCACAGGTCTGCTAAAAAAAAAAAAATCTTCAGTGGCTCCCAATTTTTGAGTATAAAATATTAAACTTCTCATCATGGCATCAAAAGCTCCAATCTGGCTACACCCTACATTTCTAAAATGTGTATCACTCCTCGCTAGGTACTCTGTATTTCAGTTAAACTGCATCAGTCACTGTTCCATGAATTCAGCATTCCATATCTCACCCCCTGTCTTACCATAGGCTATTCCCTATGCCTGGAATTCTCTGCTTCATCTCCACCTTCTCAGAATATTTAGTTCCCTTCAAAGCTCAGCTCAGGTGCCACTATATACATGAAACCTTTCTTAATCCTTGCTAGTGCTCCCCCTACCCAGTTTGCTTTGTTTTAAATGTTTTTTTCAATTATCAAACATTTCTTTCTCCTTTCCAAATTATTTTTTAAAACATTCATGTTTTTTTTTCATATATCAAGCATTTTTTTCTTCCTTCCACTTCCCCCACTGGGAAAAAAATACAGAACCCCTGTAGCATATAAGCATATCTGTCTACATGTAAGCCTCAGTGGAATGCAAGCTCCTTGACGGCAGAGATTGTTTCATTTTTATTTTTACATCCTCAGTGTATTGTTTGGGATTGTGATAATTATCACATCTTTTATTGCTTGGGATTATCATAGTTGACATTTTTATAATTTGGATGAAGGTACAGATGGAAAGCTTATCAGATCTGAAGATGACACAATGTTGGGAAGGATACCTAACACAATGGATAATGAAGTCAGAAAACAAAAAGATCTCAACAGACTAAAACACTGGACCAAATTAAATAAGATCACAATTTAATAGGAATAAATGGAAAATCTTATCCTTGATTTTTTTTAATTTCTCCCTCTACGAGCTTCCTTGAAAGCTCAACTTAAGAGCTACTTCCCAGAGGAAACTTTTCGTCATACACCCAGTGACTAGCACTTCCTACTCAAATTGCCTTTTATTTACTTATCTATATACATGCTCCCTTTCTTGCTCCTCCCTCCATCTACTCCTCATCTAAGTTCCTTGAAGGCAAGGACTATTTTGATTTTATCCCCCAAACCTAGCATAGCTCCTAGCACATACTCAAATGCATCTGTGGTCTCATCCATTCATGAGTTCCTTTTAATGATGGAGACAGCACCCCTTCCATGTCTGCACATCCTGTGTGGCTCTTGTCTATGTCCTTCTATAAGCTGGCCACAGGGGGAGTCCACTGCACATGCTAGAGGCCTACCTCTAGACAACTCAAGGGTATCATTGGAGGATATGCCCCTTGAGGATATATCGTAATCCCGTTTTTCAGAGTTCCTTACTGTTTATATGTTGCTGCCTGTTCACATCCACTAGGAACTTCTCTCTAATGCCCTTTATGTGGTAATCAGTTTTAATTCTTTAGAAACAACTGCATTGTCTAGGTGCCACATAGCAATGCTGGTAGAATGTTGGAATTAAAAATATGGGCATTTGCTTACCTGAGAAGCTTGGGGGTCATTTCCCAAAGGCAAACCAGCCTGCCCTCCCCAAGGCAAACCAGTTCTTGTCCTCCTGTTCAACTCTGGACCCAATTCCTTGACCATCTGTATTGCCTGTCCCAAACATATATTCAACAAATATTTAGTAAGCATCTAATATGTAATAGGCAAGGAAAAGATATAGTAAGTGCTTAATAAATGTTTGTTGAATTTAATCAAATAAGGGAAAGCTGGACTTGTTTTGGAATTCAGCCAAGATGTCTGAACATCTTAATCTAATCATCCAGGTCTCCTCTCTGTGTGTAGGTAGTAGGTAGGGGAGGGCGGGCAACCTTCTCTCTCCAACATCACATCACATTTTCAAAGACTTCATGCCATTTATAAATTTGCTTGAACTTTTCTTGTGTTCTTACTATGTGATATCCTGTATTGTTATCCATATTTGTGTTATTTTTAAGCTCCATGAGGGCAAGAACTGCATTTTATCTAAATTTTGTATTTTTCCCAAGGTATAAGCACCATGTTCTACATATACTAGCTACTAAATAAATGTTTTTTAATTGAATTGATGCGATCATGCTGCCACTTAAGAACTATTTCTCAGAACCTGAAACATGAAAACTTATTTCTAGGAATATAAAATCTTCAATTGTTGGAGAAGGAGGG